GGTACCAGCAGCTTAAAAAGAAAAAAATATATATATATATAAAAATACAAAATAAAAATATCTTCTAAAACTCCGGAGAGTCAGCTGCCGGCTTCTCTTCGAGATTATGCTTAACTTCTCAACACATATAAATCCTGCAATGGAAACATGTCATGCGCAGATACCAAAAGTTACACGAAATTGTTCAAACGGAACTCTCAGCAAAATTAGATATAAAGATGTGGGGTAGGGAAAAAGTCCTGAGAAGGTCCATAAAACCATTCATGCGTTAACTCAGACATATAAAGATGTGGGCTGAATCACTCGTACGGAACTCTGCTATCCAAAGTTGTAGGCTTATTGTGTGTACTGTAGCGTGAACCTAAATACAAGGGTGGGGGGAAATTAGAAGATGTAATGGCAGTATGTTCATCTTAATATATTTCCTCCATGGTTCTATTAACTTAAATTTTGTACTCGGTAAAATGAGTTATACTGAGCCGATTTTCACCATTCAAAAGTTGATATGAGGTGCTAGTAACGTTTATTATGTTTTGTGTTTTTTTTGGAAAGAAAATAATGAAATTATGTCAAATAGAAGTTCATATGCACCAGCCGAATGTAGTACAATTGTTTATCAGTGAGATTAATCTGCTCAATAAATAATTTTAATTACTTATGCAAATATAAAGATGTGGGTGAGTTCTTAATAAAAAGTTTAACTAATTTAGGTAGTTGGCTCAATTAAGGATTTTTATCATTGTATATAAACTTTAAGAGAAAACTAAGTTATTTTCTATTGTCGAGCTTGTAAGAGCAAATAAATCTTTACAGGATTTCTGCAAATTTTTTTGGGTCTAGCCTTGTTGCCACTTGGCCCGTTGCCACCCGGCCTTTTCCCACCCGGCCTATTGTCACCCGGCCTTTTGCCACCCGGCCATTTGCCATCCTAGGCCCGTTGCCACCCGGCCCGTTGCCACCCTAGGCCCGTTGCCACCCGGCCTGTTGCCACCTGGCCTTTTGCCACATGGCTTTTTGCCACCTGGCCCGTTGCCACCTGGCAATAGACTGCAACAAAGGCGTCTATTGACCACCGTTTTTTGTTATTCGAAAACGGACAATTTTAAGACTGGATTGCCTAAGTAACTTGACATCATTTTTCTTTATTGCTAAGTGTAGATTCCTACGAACCTATTTTATACTTGTACTACAAATCATTAGCCTGATCAAAAGCCATGGCTAGTAGTAGTAGTTGTACCAACAGTAATATTGGTGCCGCCAAAACACCTTCTAAAATAGCACCACCAACACAAGTTACATCCCAGAAAATTAAGTGTTTGGAGAACTGTTCGCTTAATCATACACCAAAAGGGTGTAACTAATCGAGTGCTCATTATGTCAACATGACTACCATACACAGTGTGTTGGCCTCAACCCAGGGAAAAGATCCACTTGGTTTTGCGACAAATGCAGGAATATCTCTAACGTTATCTCATCGCTACAAGACAAAATAAAGCAACAGAACGAGATAATAAGCAAAATGTTCGAAAACTACTCTGTGCTAGAAGCAGCAAATGAGAATCTACAGGCCAAATTGAATGATCAGTCTAATCTATTGAAGAAATTAACTGACAAATTACAAAGAAAAGAGAATGAAACACATCTAGACGTTACATAAAGTGACACAGAATTAATGGCTAACAGCACCCTTCTCGTTGGTGATTCTATCATCAAAAACATAAATGAAAGAGGGCTCAATAATACAAGCGTATCCTGCATCCGTGGTGGAATGATTAAAGATATAAAAGAGTCCATTATTAAACAGGGTTTAACTATTATTGTACATGTAGGTACAAACAATTGTTCCACCAATGACGTAATCCTAGATGAAGCGAGAAACGAGTACGAAGCATTGATCCAGGAAGTGAACAAAGGCGCCAAATACAAAGGTTATTCTATCAACATTGTGCCCAAGAACTGATAACGCTGGTTACCAACTGAACGTAGAAAAACTTAATATGAGCATAAAAGAAGTAGCGACAAATAATAACTGTCACATAATCAACAATGATGATACATTTAAACCAAGCAATAATGATTGTGACTGTGGATCCTTTAATAGGAGCGGACTTCACCTCAGCATCTATGGCACTAAGAAACTCCTAAAAAACATTGATCGAATTCACCCAATTATACGAAACAAATATTCAAACCATCAGGAAAGTACAATCCCTAGGGAACGCAGAATCTACAACCGACATAATATGAAATCAGGAACGCCAAGAACAAACAACCAACTGGCAGCGTGTTACTTTTGTGGCGAACAAAATCATCACATGAAAAACTGTAAACATGGCCGTCCAGTACGATGCCGTACATGTAATCAACTTGGCCACAAACAGAACGCCTGCAGAACTCATTAGAGGTCCAGCTATGAAGATAATGCTGTTCCTGGTAACAGGAAGAAATTGTGGGGTAATGTGATCAGTAATTATAATATTTTAACTGAGTTAATTAATAAACTTAACTTAGATAACAATAAATCTCTTTATAACTCTAACGATTCAGATTGTGCTGAAAAAGAACCTAGACCTAGCATAATAAACAATGTAAGCACTGGGAAACACAATGGTCGTAGACGTGTTAGACGAAGCAAGAAGAACAAGCCCAAAATACATATTAATCTAAAATTGGCCTACAACAATGTTCGTGGGTTTAAAAGTAAAAAATATGAAATAAAGAAATTTATTGAAAGAAATAATATTAGTATATTTGGGATGGCGGAAACATTTCTAAAAGACCAAGAATGCATTACATTGCATGGCTACAATTGGATTGGGAAAAATAGATGTAACAACTTAAAGAAAAGCCAAGGAGGTGTTGCTTTTCTCATAAAAGATAACATTAAAATTATCGATGATAACATATTGGATAGTAAATCAGACACTTTAGAAAGAATATGGATTAAACTCCAATTAAATGATTCGGCTAACTCGTTCTACTTTTTAGCCATTGTCTACTTCCCATGTGATGGAACAAATAAAATACTGACGGATGAATTGTATATTTCACTCTTAGCAGAAACTATTACAATCAGGGAAATATATGAGGATCCCAAAATAATTATTATAGGCGACTTTAACGGTAAAATTGGGTCAACTATTGAAGGTGCTGACTATTGTATTAATTATAACGGCAAAGGCTTAATTGATCTGTGTGATGACGGAGAACTAACTATGCTTAACGGAAGTGATAAATGCACAGGTACATATACTTGGTTTAAAAAAAAACCAGAAAAGTGTCATTGACTATGTTTTAGTATCACAGAATGTATATGATGTTACACACGAATTTATAATTGATGAACTTGGGTTGTACCATATTGGTAGTGACCATAACATGTTAATCCTAAAATTAGATAACACGTCCGTTAATCACAATTTCAAGCATACTAAAGCAGATAAATTATACTGGAACATAACTAAGGATCAAAATTGGGAGCCCTTCCAAAATGAATTAAAACATAAATTAGAAGATTGGAGCCCCCAACACTTCAATGAAAATGAAGCCTG